TATAGTAGTAGTTTCAAAATACCTGAAATTTAAATAAAATCACTTCAGTACTATATAACCATGGACCGAATAAAATTATAAAAATGTACATTTAATTGATGTGCTGATCACTTAAATAATACGGTTTTTTTTTAAAGAAAATTGAGGGGAAAGCTGTATATTTATCAGTGAAGCGCTGATCTACATTACGTATATAAATACATAACTCGTAGGTAGTTAATGATAATTGCTTAATTGCGTGTTTATGAGCCAACGCCAATCGCCTCTTATTACAAACGCATATGTACATACACATTTTTAATATTCTTCATTAATGATATTTTCAAAATCAAGAAATAAAAATGTAAATATTTTCCAAATCTTTCAGCGAAACACTAATATTTTCTGGCCCACCACCGTTGACCATTGGATTCACTGGTTGACGACCAATGGAAARAAATTAATCTAATATTTTCCGAAACGAAAACACTGAACTAAATACATGTGGAAAGCTATATTAATGCATTAAAATTTGACTTTTTACATAAATAATTAAAAGTACTTAATAGTCACTAAGATTCCAAACCTCATATTTCTGAAAATTCCCAAATTTATACAAATATAAACACAAACGACCTATACACTTATAAAAATAACTTCCTTTATATCTGAATTTAAAAACCTAATAACCCCTCTCATATCAGTATATCACTTATTACTAGAGATATTGATCCAATTCTACTAAACAATGTTAACTAATATGATTAAACTAATATAAATTATAATACCAATCCGGCATTTCCCTTATTAAATTATCAGTATTCTGTAGAACGCAAATGAGATAATCTAAGATACAACCAACTTAAAAACATATACTTCATCTTATAAAAACTGACATATAGCACTAATAACAGAAATTCGTCTGACTACTAAAAATATATACATATACCCGGTGATTTCTATATGGAAATTCATCCTGAATCCTGATAGAACTGCAATAATTATAATTTCAACATCAACCCGACATGTCTTACCTCAGTGCCAACAACGTTTTCTATAGTCAACAAACAAATAAGTCTAAATAAACCACACTCCAGTCACGATATTATCAGTATATTGCCCAACTGATCACTTCTCACTCAAAATCAATTAAATCAATCATTCATAAGTCTTAATGCGTTAAAGGTTAAAATGTAACAATTGTAAATATTTCATTCAGATAAARTAGTTTGGTGCGAACAACTTTTCTACAATGCAAACTGAACGGCTGTATTTATATCTGTAATTTTTAAAGTTATTCAGTTGTTTTTGTAAAATAATAAGTACACATAATATTATATAAGTTGACTGCTTTGTGTATGATATGTGATGCACTTAAAATATCATTACCCTTCATATTTCGTCATACACGATATTCAACATTTTTCGAGATCATTTATTTATTTATATCTAAGAAATTTCACACGCTAGAAACTCTTATAAAATCTGAATATCCTGTATTATGACACTCCGCCGGGTTCATAAAACTAATGAGTACATACATGATTATTGATTATATACTCAAGGCGTTCGTGGCAAGATCAGTAAAATAGGTAAGGCAGTCAACTTTTGATAATGAAATTGTATTTTAGGAGAAAACTAAGTTTTTACTGCACAAAATATTCAATTTTAAATAAAATACATTTTAATATAACTTATAATATACATAATATTATATAAATATTTAAAAAATAATAACTTAGGTATACCTAGGAAAAGATACTATTATACTTAATACTAACCTTAAACAGTTATCTAGACCAAATTTAACAAGTAGATGATCTACGATATATGGCATGAACATGGTGAAACATGAGCTGCCAGCAGTGACTATTCCGTTTACCAGACCAAGGTACTTTTTGAAGTAATGACCAAGAATAGCCAATGAAGGCGTATAAGCCAATGATGCACCAATACCATATAATAGGCCGTAAGTTACGTATAATACTTCCACCTAAAATATTAAAATTATATCATAAAATAAAATAAATTAGCAAGTACAAAGAAAAATCTGGAACTAAAACTTAAAAGTATGTATAATTATGTTATGGAAGTTAGATGGGGCGAAACCGGGTGGGGGGGGGACCCGTAACTACGCCTCTGGTCACAGTTGAGTATTTTTTTCCTACCACAAAATCCCATGGATTTAAAACACATGGTATTGTAATTTGGAAATATCAAATACCGCATTATTTTATAAATAATAATATAATAATATGTATTCTAAATTAATGTACCGTCGAAGTATTTTGCCCTATTTCTGAAAATGAGAGATATACATATTTGAGTTAGGCACAAGTGTACAAGATAAAAACAAAATTGATTTTAAAACTATTGTATGTACTTCACAATATCTAGAAGTTTGAAATCAAAAATAATTTATTAGTATTGTTAACAATGGCAACCAAATTTTCAAATAGTACCTATAAGAACATTTAATAAAATTTATTTACTTTCAGTTATTTCAATAGCGTATAATGCTATTTTTTATTTTTAAAGTATTGACATTTAATATTACTCAAAATAACGAAATTTGAAATGACCATAAATTGAAGAGCTTAAACATTAAAAACCTTTTAAAGAATCACTTTCAATATGTAGTAAATGTAAGTAGTAGGTAGTACTTACGTTGCTACGTTACTGATTCCTTAAAATTGTAAATGGTAGTTGTCAGAAAGGTTTAAAAATAATGCTTTCAAAATGTAAAAATCAGTAAGATAATAGTAAAATATTTTTTATTTTAAGATTATTGTACTACAATATTTATACTAGTAAAATTATTTATAAAATATAATGTGCATTATGCTGTTATAATAAGATGGTTGTTTAAAAAAAAAAAAATAATAATCGATTTTAAATATGTTACTGTTTGTCTATAAGAAACTGTAAGTGGAATAATATTATATTATTTTAATTGTTTGAKGCMTCAACTACAAGGGTTATTAGCCGACGTTACATATTTAATTTACATTAATTTCTTACATACTTTCTTAATTTCTACATAATATCATATTATAACTTACTTGATGAGTGAAGTATGATGATATTAATAAACTATTAGTAGCAATAAAACCACCTATAAATGTAGTTGTTCTAATTCCTATGCGATCAACGAGAACTCCAGCGATAGGCGACATTAGAAATGTTGTTCCCACTGTCAAAGAGCCAACCAATGCTAAAACCAACAAAATATTGTTAATAAAACATCTAAAATGTGTTGAATATATACATCTAAATTTTAAGTAAAAAGGTATAATATATTAAGACATACAATGGTGATAAAATTGAATAAATCAATATTTTTTTGACGATTGARTTATTTATCATTATTAATATTCATAAAATAAATAATATTAGATTATACCATGTATATACTTTTACACCGATAATAAGCACAATACTATTAGAAAAACAATWAGCATATTTAATGAAGGATAAATTATTTATACATCATATAATAAAGTAAATATATATTAACTGAGGCCATGTATGTTAATAGTTATAGGGATACATTAGGGGAGTTCTTACTTATAAAAGGATTTTTTTTTTATTTGATTATTTATGAATTATGATCAATCACTCCAAAAAGATTCCAACATGTATAAAAATGATGAATACAAATTCGGGGTGTCAGAATCGGATAAATTCAACTCGTGACCCAAAGCTCTTAAAGTTGGTAATTCTAGGATCGGATATATACTTACAAAAATCCTCAAAATACGCTTCTTAAATGCTGTAATATGCTACAAAATATGCACTTAAAGTTAAATCGAAATTTAGTTTAAAATTATATTAAAAAAATAGAATTAATTAGTTAAGCATTTAAAAAAGTATAAAAGAATTATAAAATGGTAGATTCATTAGGTATGTGTCATTTAGTATATTTTAAAGCGTGAAGAGATGATGGATTTTGTAATTTAAATAATGGAATATTTGCAAAAATAAAAGATATTTATATTGGAGATATCTTTATTAAAGTTATTCACGTTCATATTAGAAATAAACGTTTATTTTGCATTTTAAATTTTATTCTTTGAGTTTTAAATTGTTTTTTGTGTTTACACGCGATAGATGTTGGTTTACCAAAAACTTTGTAGTCACGGTAACTAAAATTTCACAAATATTTCAATAAAATTGAACCATTTAAAAGTTTTAAAAATATCTTTAAGATCGATTACGCATGTATTTAAACGACTCCTAATTGGTATTTTTTGTTTAGGAATTTTAGATTTACGAATTTAAATTATATCAAAAATCTCTAGACACAAAATCTGACACTTTTTAATAGTAAACGCACGACATGGACTGAAACCTTTGAGTTATATTATATAAACTACGAATTTATTTATCTATGCTAATATAATATATATGTTATGGGCAAAGTATATAATTTGGGCATTTTATACAAATGCCCTTCGTTTATTGGGCAATATACAGGGTGATTCTTTTATCAAAAAACACTCATTATTTAAAAAGTATTTATTTTTTTCAAAATATTTTCTTACATGGTTTTAAGTTGTTAAAAATCAACGTTTTTATTAAAAAATATAATTTTTTAATATTTTTTATCCTTGTAATTTCTTAAGTTTTTTACTTTTTTGAATGACAACATAGAGTTTTAATTTCATATTCCAAAGCTGAATATTTTTCTAAGTATTTTGATTCATAAAAATTGAATTTAGGGCTAGTATAGTTTATGAGTTATAAGTATTTAAAAGTATTTTTTTTCAATAAAAACTTTGGTTTTTTGACTTGAAACTATGTAAAAAA